AATTCAAGCTCGTCTAGCGAACACTCTCTTCCACCCTCGGACAGAACATCGCTCTTCTCAAGGACCTTGCTCTACAGGGTTACAACAGTTGCCTGCAGCGCATGGCCGCCTTCGGATCTCGAGACCGGCCGTCGGATTACGACCATACCGAAGCGCAGTCGTGGCACGTAACCAGATTGAACACAGCCAAATGCCAACTCTTCGAGGAGGTAAAGGAGGCCCGCGAGCGCCTAGGTGGTGATGACAGTGGAGCCTTTGGTACTGTCTACAAAGCCGTTGACAAGAAAACCGGCAATCTATTCGCTATCAAAGTGATGAAGTTGGAAGGCGACCCCCTGCAAATCCAAACTGCACGGGCGGCGCTGCACCGAGAGGTTAAGAATCTTGAAAGACTTAACCACGTTAGTTTTCTCCCGTTGATCGATGCGGTTGTTCTTCGTCGCATCTATAGCATTAACCATAAATTTAGCCTCATATCATCGAATACCTTGGCTGTGGCGCTTTCGAGACAAACGCCCCAGAGATCCGGATGCCGCTGCGCGAAGGTTCTTTGGCCTCTCTCACAAAATCGGTCGAGAGCAAGCAGGAGAGGAGAATACTCGCCAACTCTGTGACCGAGCAGATACTCACCGCTCTCGACTATCTAGACTGCGAGAACATGATCCACCGCGACATCAAGCCCGAAAACATTTTGTTCATGCCCTTGCCCGACGACAAGTTTTTTTTTCAGCTGGCAGACTTCGGGTTCGCCATCCACAGATCTTTGGCCCAGACAGTCTGTGGCACCCCTTACTACATGCCCCCTGAGCTATGGCCACATAACCAGTCCAATGTCTCCGCCCCCCAAACTTCCAAAATCGACATCTGGTCCTTCGGCGCAACGATCCTCGCCGTCCTATCTAAATTCAAAGAGTTTCCACCCACCAGTTTCCCACCCGGCACGGTCCCAGCTCACGTCATCTTTAAGGCGGTGCGGATTCAGGCCAGGGGCAAAACCATTGTGGAGCCCATGATGCAAATGCATCCGGACGAGCGGGCTTCCGCGGCGCAGCTCCTCGTCACCTTCTACGGAGGCAATGGCTTAGTTTCGAAGCCGTCCGAAGTTCCACCAATCATGCCAACTAACCCCCAACTTCGACGGTGGCCACTGCGAACGAAGCCGTCTGTGCCGGCGACTGAGACCGAGCCGGTTGTCGCTGCCTTTCCCTGGGCGCCTCTCCAGCAGCAGCAACAACAGCGGCAGTCCCCAGCAGCGGCGGGACTGAGGGGCAACATCAGCCCGCTGGCCGGAATGCGGCAACTCCGCCCGCGCCGGACGAGGGTCGGGGCGGGGCTTCCGCTCGTCGTTTGGCCGAAGAAGCCCGCCGGCGGGCCCCCCCGAACTGGTAATGGACAGTATAACCCATTTTCCCCTCGGCAATTGCCTCAAAAGGTCCGCGCCAAGAGGGACGGCGTTACGAAGCGTCGGGCCGAGCCCCCAACAGCCGCTACAAAGAAAGGGAAAACCCTCGCCGCCGCCGTGCGCAAGGAAGCGGCGCAAACGGGCGGGTCCAAACTTTGGATGCCTGGCGCATTCCCCGAGGATAGCTTGGACCCGTAATCCTTCCCAGCAAAACCCAATTGGTAATGTCCACGCGCGATTATTACCATCCCCCGCCACACGTCTGGTGCCGACATTAGTGGCCCGCCCCGGCAAGCGTTTAAAACGTGGGCTGGGCGCAACGAGCCTGGCTCGACCCCCGATGATTTCCACCACAAGATGGCGGTCCGGCGCGTCGAATGCCGCGAAGATGCATGGACACCGGTTTTGTACGTGTCTAGCAACTAATCCGGTGGGACAAACACGTCAGAATGGCCTCAACCGCCAGTACCCAGAGCTAACGGACCATTTGATCAACTATAACTTCCGCAAA